GACACATATATATATATATATATATATATATATATATATATATATATATATATATATATATATAGGCTATATTAATTTGAATGGAGGGTGTTTTTGGGCTCTGGGGACCTCAAAACAAAAAGTAAATCGGTCCCAATAAGTAATCGGTAAATCGGTGGTCTAGGTCTTACCATGAGACCTACGGTAATAGCTTATTCCCTATATGGCAAATTCGCTAAAACAAAAAAATGCAGTTGAATCAACCCTTCAAGGAGTGTGAATATTGAATTTCTATTTTCTCTTTAGTCCTTCATTCTATGATAGTTAATACTTAATGATTAATTGATCTTTCAGTTTTGAATAATCAAAGGCCTGGTACTTGAGAAAAAAGAGGTTTTTAAAGCTGAACTTAAAAAAAAACTTTAAATAGATGATTTATTTTATCACTAGTATATACATAAGTGATAGATTTTATTTTATTGGCATGGTATTTATGAATTGCTGCGGCGGGGGTATTTTCTATTTCACAAGTCAAATCTGGGCAAACGCTAAACAAGTAAGAGCGATTAATCTAATATTTTTCAGCAAGAAGCATAGAACTTAAACAATATTTGAATTTTCCTATGCCTTGTGCAAGTCTTTCTCATAAATTGACTGAGAGTAAGCTCTAAATTTGAGCGCAGACAAATTGAAACAAGGAAACCCATTTAGAGGACTCATTTCATAATATTGGTTTTGTATTAGCTAAGTATTGTAATGGTTTTGTAATTTTTTTCAACAACTACATATTTCAAATATAAAATATCGCAAATATTATTAACTTACATGCTGAAGCGCAGGGGTGAGGCATCATAAAAGAATCGCACACAAATTAAGAACCATTAACATCACATGACACACCCAAATTGCTTTCATAAACTCCAGCAAGAAATTGTTAAAACTGTCTAGTGAAGTTATTTTTGGGGAGATTCAAACCAGAGCCATAGTTTCAGCTTGCTGTATAAGTGTTGACAGAAACTGTTTAACCTTTCAAATAACTGTGTTTAACCCAAGTCCAATTCTATCTTCATTCAGTTTAATTGTTGTTTATTACATTCATAGTTGATTGTGAGTAATGGTCTTGTTTAGGTTAGTTTATGACATTTCAATATGTAAACATACAACTTCTTATGTATTGTTGTGAAACAGCAATTAACTCTGCAAATTAGTATCAAGATGTTTGGGAATTTTTAAACCAATTTAGCATAGATGATGACTTCTTAAGTATCAGCTGAGGAAAATTTAAATGTATGCATTTTTGTCCATATGTATAGGGGTGCTGGTGTAATTACTTAATATATTTCTTACTAGCTGTAACCCGCGGGCTTTGCCCCGTTTAACTTCTTAATTTTCAAGATTATCTCGTTCGCATGGCTCAATCACGTCCTGGTTGAAGTTTGTTCGCTACGCTCACTCACCTTTAGGTTGGAGCTCGTTCGCTACGCTCACTCACCTTTAGGTTGGAGCTCGTTCGCTGCGCTCACTTGCCTTCAGGTTAGCTCGTTCGCTACGCTAACTCGCCTCCAGGTTGAAGTTCGTTCGCTACGCTCACTCACCTTTTGGTTGCAAATTAGCTGTTGTCATAAATGTAAAAGAAATAATAGTGCTGCACCCTGTTGGTAATTTTTGTAACTTTAATGCTATTGAACATCACAGAACAGAACCAACTTGTTTAATTGAAACAGCTGTTAAGATTCAATAATTTCATTTCTCATAAGGTTAACATGGGAAACTCCAGAGCCACTGGGGCGGAGCCCTAAATGATTTTTGAAATAAGAATATGCCTATATGTTAATCGGGAATGTGAGCTATCATCATGCCAAATTTCAGCCCAATCCGACCAGTATTTTTCGCGTTCACTTGTCACAAACATACATCCATACATCCATACATCCATACATCCAAACTTTCTCATTTATAATATTAGTAGGATATTGGTTATTTTATTTACTTCAAAACAAATAGGTATAGTAAAAAATATGATTAATCTATAAACTGTTGAACCTTGTACCTTTGCAATAGTCAATGCTTGTACTCTTCTTGTATAAGGACCAAAGACGATAAGTACAAAATATAAAGGTTGCAATAAACTTGGAGAAATAAATCTTCGACTTCTCAGTCAAACAAAACTGGAAATCTAAAGAAATTTAGGTGGTTTGAGGGGAAGTTTTTCTAGGTTCCCCCACCACTTTTATTCCTAATGTTAGCGAATTTCCCATATAGGGAATAAGCTATTACCGTAGTACTCATGGTAAGACCTGGACGCGGGACCGATTTTTTTTTCGTTTTGAGGTCCCTAGAGGCCAAAAACACCATCCGTTCAAATTCATATATATATATATATATTTATATATATATATATATATGTGTGTGTCCGTCAGCACGATAACTCGAGCAAAAATGATCCGATTTTGATGAAATTTGGTACAAACGTGTAAATGTACGTTTATTCGAACGAGTTCGGGATCCAGCATGATCGGACCATGGGAACGGGGGTTTACGGGGGGTTTTATGGGGTAAAAATAGGTTTTTCCCCTTTTTGACCCAAAAAACATAAAATTTAGCAATTTCTTTCCAAACCATTTTGTAGAGCTTAAAATAACAAATAATTTAGTATATTGAAGCGTTATTATGCGCCTAATGGTTACGGAGAAAATTCCAAAAAATTGTAAATTTAAAATTCCCATGTTATTCTTATGGAGAATAAGTAAACTGTTGTAGTTTGCTTGTTTGTGAACATATTTTGATCAAATTTGGAAAATGTTTTTATTTCTTACTAACTATTCACATTTTACAAAAAAAAAACAGTTTTACCCTCCCTATGATGCAGCAAACCTAAGTACTTGTTAAACTAATTCTATTTAAATCAAGAATAAATGTTATATTTTTAAGTAGACATTTCAGTGTAAATCCAATCAGTCAAATGGAAATTCGCTTAGTCTGCAGGTTTGCTGCGGCGGGGGTATTTTTTACATTATGGAAGTCCACAAATGGACATCTATCCTTTTAGTTTAGCACGTGGTCAAGTTATTTTATATACAAAATAAAAGGATGAGAAGAATTATTAATATACAAAAACTGGAACTTTGAAGCTTATTAACTAGTCTCAGGCAATTATATTATTTTATTGAGTACCTACTGAAATTTTACTTCGATGATGTAATTGAAAGGAATAACTAATTGAAAAAGTACCAAGAAAAGGATATCATCCAAACAGTCTTGCTGTTAATCTGCTGGACAATAGTCCGTGTATTACCAGACTAAAAAGTGTTGTTCATGTGTTGGACCTGAGCTACAGATTTCTCTAAATCTTTAAATGATTGATCAAATGTTTGGCAAGACTTGTTGATAAACAGGTGCTTGCTGCCTGCCATTTTTGTGTTAAATATTTTACTTATTGTTCTCATATTCTTATAAACAGATTGTAAAATAAATTTTGATAAAAAAAAATAACAACTATGTAAGAATTAAAAAAACTCACTTTTCTGCAGCCTATACATGACCATATGGTATTTGACTCCTTTTAAACAAAACCTAGTCAAACACATGTTTCAAAATTACCCAAACTGGTAAAAAGTTCAAACTTGTGTTAGTTACCAAGATTATAATGCACAACTAATACTGAACACAGATGGATGTACCAAACTAAACCATATGTTGAGCTGTTACATTATTGGTTATTAATCACTGTGTTTAAGTAAACGAATCCCACATTTTACATAACCAGACCTTTGCAGAAGTTTTCGATACTAACTTACAGAATATCGCACCTAATAACAAATTAAGATGAAGTTTTTGAAATAAGAGCACAACACTGTTACTGAGCTATATGAAAAACTATATACTGATACCTAATACTCAATCACCTAATATTTGTTTTTGTTTATAAAGGTATAAGTTAGTAAAATACCGTAATATCATTGATTTTCATGACTAGCATTTTTTTAACCATCAAAGATTTTCTCATAGTAGCTTAAATTTTCAATGCTTACCAACTTTATTTCTAATTTCTGTGCCCATAGTTTTGTCTATGTGTTTTCCCCTGTAATTTCTACTTGTATTATGTCTCAGAGATGAGTCATGACAAAACACATATCTGGTAGTTAATTTTAGATTAAAAGCAAAGAAATATTTATCATTGGTTTAGGTACTAATGTATGAACGTTTTTGGGATTCTGATCACAAAATAATACCTTTGACTATGGATATAACTAGACAAACCATTTTTCTTTTAGTTGAATTAAATGCAGAGCCAACCTTTAGGTGGGGAGGGGCTTTTCCTAAGGGATCTACGGACCCTAAAAATGTTGGGATTGGCCCAGTCCCCAAGAGATTGGTTTAAGCCGTAAATCATTTTCGGAAAAAGCTCTGGTCGGATCATTTAGATTATAAGTGTCCGAGCTTTTCTTCTTGCGATCGCAGAACGCATATAAGAATATTGCACAACTAAAAACAAACTAATTCGTTACAATCTTGGGAAACAAGGAAGTCGTTTTAGCAATTGGGGAGATATTGATGATTCTGCTGCTGTCAAAAGAGAAGCTCAAAAATGCGCCAGAACCTCAGAAGACGCACAAGATTTCGTTACAATCATGAGGGAGATGTTATCGATTTCATTTCAATTGCAGGAGACGTTCAGGATTTTTATGAGAACACGGAAAACATTTACAATCCTGCTACAATCGAAGGAGATGCTCACATTTTCATCCCGACCATGGGAGGTGTTCTCGGTATATTATCAAGACTGTAACAGACATTTGCAATCCCTTCGCAATCGTAGAAGACGATCACAATTTTGTCGCTTTTACTGAACTCGATAATGATGACTCTGTTACCACAGAGGACGTTGACGGTTTCCTCACAATCAAAGGAGGTCAAAATTTAAATTTTTTTGGGAAATATCTAAATTTTTTAGTGTATTTTTTCTTATGCGAATCCAAGGATTGAATTAAATGTCAAAATATATATCTTTTACATTTATTTACAAATCACTTCTTCTTATTACGGCTCTGTGCTGGCTGGTGGTCTCTCGGGGAGTGTGGTGGTCCAAGTATCTCTTTGTAACGGAGCCTGGAAAATGGTGCGAAACATCGGTCTTCTAAACCTGCTGCCGAACCCTCTTCTGGGACCCTGTAGAAACATAAGTGTCATTGAGAATTCAATATTGGCGATTCAGTCAAAAGTGAGTCTGCAAGTGTTTAACATTATTTAAGTTGTCAATTTTGAAGTTTACAACAGAATGGGACTGCTTAGGACATTAGTAAACACGAAACATGAAACTGGATCAGAAACCGAAATACTAGTAACAATTTGGATGTGACAAAGAAATGTAAGGAAAAGTAAGAATGGGAGGGTTGGTCACATTGAGAGGACGGATGAGGAGAGAGAAGAAAAATATTGAAAGAGGAGTTGGTAGAAAACAAAGAGTTGGAACAGCACAAAAGAAATAGCAAGACTTTATAAAAGAAGACTTACTGCTGAATGGAAACAATTGATGATGATAATGAATGAGGAGGTACACAAATAGAGTAGTGAGTGGAAATTAAACATCTGGTATAGGTAATAACGACACAAGAGTACAAGGGCGTAGAGTTTAAGGATTATTGCTGAGATAGCAGGCTTGCCTGAGTCCATCCTGGCACAAGAAACACAAAAACCTTACAATTGGAATATTTCATCGTCACTGACATCAGTATTTAACCAAGGAAGGATTGAATTAGGAAGAAAGATGTCTTCAGGTCTGATGAGGGTCAGGATTAGTTTGAAGCAAAATTTTGTTTAATCGTTAAAAGTACTTTTAACAAAAAGTACCGACAATCAGACAGTATACCGACTTATAGGCAAAAAGGCATACAGAATGCAAAAGTAGACTAAAATATTGATTGCTAACACTATACTGATTAAATAACTCACTAAAGTTTTATAAAAAAAAACATTGGCCAAAAAAGAAAGCTGAGCTCTTCTGGTACCGGGGCCCCTGCTGCGTAAACTTATGTACGCAGTAGTCCTGCAGCTTGAAGATGGACTCTCAGGGGTAGTGGTTAAAGCCGATGAAAGTTCGGTAGTCTTAGGCTTCGGCTGAGGATGTGTGTCCCCGTCCACGCAAATGACGGATCGGGGGCAAGCCCGATAACCTGTCTGGGAGGACCTGTTACTAGATAGGAGTCCCACACACAGGCTACGGTCTGGAGTTGCTCGGAATTAAGCTCTCCAGCGGCTAGAAATGTTGCATTTCTTCGCGATTGCCATTTTGAATAGGCCAGAGCCTCTAAAATGTTGTTGCCCCGTGCGAATGGGAGTTCGTAATTAGACTACAGTTTTATATAGTTCTTCGTGCAGTACTAAATACATTTATACATATAATGTAAAGGTCACAGTGGGTTTTGGAAACAAATTCCAATTCCACCAAATTGAAGATGATAACTGTTAATTTATAGGTCAGGTAAGAAAGAGTAGTAAAAAGAGTCAAGGCAACTATTTCGCACAACAGCCTCACTGGCGCACCAGCCAAGGGGGGCAGTTTACCTCCTCCCAAATAAAAATCGTTAATGAAAAATCATTACAGAAATTTTCAACCTACCATTCTGTTGAACCGGTATCCAAGCCATCCTTTGGTAGGGTACAGGCTGTGTTGGGCTTCAGGGTATTCATAAACTGGTTTCTGGGGTAGAGGAGCCCTCAAATCTCGATCGTTTCCTGCATACTCATCCTGAAAACCACTCATTCTGATGATTGGGAAAAAACTTAATCCGGTTATCTTTGATACGTACTATCCTTGTATGGTCGCCATTTCAAGTAAAGTATTAAAGTATCATTAAATTTGAGTATTCCAAGTAGACATTTCATCCTAAAATCTAAAGCCAGTTTTTTTTGTTTGTTCCTGAATCAGTAATGCTTGAAGTTATCGGTGTCAATGTAACTCGAGGAAAGCAACCATTTAGTAAACACCGATTAACACGTAACCAAATATATTTTTTAACAGTAAAATTACTTAGTCTTGAGCTATAATAAAAGCTGTTCTTTTAATTTCATAGTCAAATTTGTAGAATTCATCGACTCTTAACTAAGCTAAAGAAATTATTACTGGTATTGATTTTTACACACTGAAGTAAGACGTCCAACCTAGATGGACAAGCTGTAGCCAATGTTTTGTCCAAATAGAATATATTTTCGAATGAGCCACTCCCGGAATAGCTACCGTCGACGTTCTTTTTTTTAGTTCATTTTACTATTATTATAGTTAATGTGACATAAAAAAGTTCCACAATAAATTACATCCTACCACTTAAGCTAGTTGAAATCATTTACTGGCATCAGCACAATCTGTTGGTATCTGAATTATTATATGCTGAAGCTAAAACAGCTCTAAATGTGGGAATGGAATTTATACTTCTGCTCTATCGATAGATAAAGCTAAAACACAGTTCTACTTACCGGAGCTCTGAAAGGTACCCTCATTGTGGACTGTCCCTGAAAAAAATTATTGGTTGAATATTTTTTGAAGGTATTGTTATCAAGGCTCATGTTAAAACAGTTTTAATTGTTGATACTGGTTCTAAAACCACTTACATGCACACTGTAGAAGTAAGCCGGAGGCATTATCCTATGTTGTTGTTGTTGGATGACTTGTTGTTGTTGCGGGTTGGCCTTGGGCCGCTCCTGGTACTGATAGTGGGCCTGGTAGTGGCCCGTGGCCTGACTAGGGTCCTCGTAATGATGCCCGCTCTCGTAATGCACTTCCTGAGACAAACGAGAACTAACATCATGAGAAAATTAAGAACTAACACCAGAACTTTACCAACCCAAGAAGAACAAAAACTATACTAAAAGCAACAATTGAGATACATGACTAGAAAGTGGACAGTCCTTGGAGACCGCAGACCATCATTTGATGACTACACAGCTCTGAATGAGGTAACGGAAAGCACTCTATGAACCATAAGGGACAGACTCCTTTCTCTGGAGAAGCTCATAGATAGAATGCTGCATTTCATCAAGCAGCTAAGGATGAGTAGCTTTGACGGGCTCTGAGGCACTAAACAGGAAGCGCAGAAAGCATCATGTGGCTAGCACGCGGTCTAGGTCCGCACAAATTCAATCAATTATAGAGGAAACTAAATTCAACTGGACCTATTCTCAGTGACAAAATCTTTGGTCTCCCTTTAAGGATTAAGGACAGAAGAAAATAAAGTGTTGTGTAAAAAAATAAAGACACACTAATAGTTTTAAATTATTAGATGTATACATAAAAATATTAATTTCTTGTAAGAAAATAAAATGTTATTCCAATTTGTAATTTTATTTTATAAATAATAAAAAAGTGGGGTGTCACAACATAACTAACATTGAATCAATATACATCATTGAAACAATAAAATTCATGGGTAATTAATTATTGTAGATCAAAATAATTGTTCACTCTACAGAAAAGTAAAAACCACACTATGGTAGAGTCCACAACGTCCCTTTACTTACCGCGGTCTTGTTGCCTAGTCTACTTTCATAGTGTTGGTAGTACTGGCTGTATGAGTTACTGGAGTGGTTGGCGTGGTAATTCTGGTAGCTCTGGTACTGTTCAATACCATGGCCTGACTTTTGTTGACCCTGAAAAAATAACGCAAGACATCATTGAAAAAAATCACAGTTAAAGTCACTAAAATGTTTTCCTTTGAACACCTAATCTTGCAGGGATAGAAGACATTCTCTTAAGAAAAATTTGTGACTTTTTAGTGATCTTTTGCCTTAGAATTAAATTTAGTATATTAGAATCAATCAAGAATCAAGAATCAATTTTATGACAGGAAAAGTTATGAAATTTTAGAAATTAGTTTATTTTTAGTGAATTTCTCTATAGGGAAGTAGCCGCCCCCTCTTTTTCTACAAACGCTTCATATCTCCACCAAATGCTCCCTCTGCTGCGCCTAACTATGTTAACGTTCCCCTACTTCATATGCTGCATCAGCGATTGTGATTAACCCCCCAATTTACCAAAAACTTTCAAATCCTTTCCATTTCCAAACAGTATATCCAATGCAGCCAGACACAAAACCTCTGTTACCCCTATATTAACACCAATACCGAAACCCCACATAGGCTGACGTTAACCGAAACCCCCGGTCTGTGAGACCCCATTTGAAAAATAATGGACTTTGCTTAGAAACACACAAACCAAAACCCTCGGTCTGTGAGACCCCGCTTTAAAATACACTAACGTTGGGCTTCTGAGACGGAGATGTTTTGAACAGACGACCTATCAAGGTCACGGCCCCCATGCAAAATGAACAAACAATATATCAATAGGTAGGGGAGGAAAAGGGGGGAATGTATTGGGGGAATGGAATCTACCAAGTAAACAGCGTTGCCAACATGCGTTTTTGAAAATTCCCGTGGGCCTGTCAGACCGGGGTTTCGGTATTAGTGTTAAAGAGACAAAATTACTTCAAAAGTACTTTAAACTCAATTAATTATCAAATTAAACTCCCGAAATCAGGTGATATTAGAGAGGATAAACATTCCGTATCTGTCAAATGGTGAAATCACTCATAGTGTTACCTGTGTGTTGCTTTGCCAGGAAGAGTGCTGCGGCCCGTAGTGGTAGCTGTACTGATGACTCTCCTGCTCGTTGTTGAGAGCGACTGCTCCGGTCTCGGGCTGTCAACAGGGAGATAACATCAAATATACTCATTCTCTATAAACTGCTAAGCTTAAATTGACTATTGTGCACCTAAGTAAGTACAGTCGAACCTCTATAAGACGAATTTCAAGGGGTAGGGGGAAAATTTGTATTGTCGAGGTATTCTTAATAAAGAGGTTTGTTTCATCGAGGTTTAATACTGCCATTAATCGTCTTATAGAGGTTTCTCCTCGCTCTGAGACAATGACTGAGGAAAGAAGAGGGATGGGTGGGTCTCATGTTGGGACAAGCTTTTTTTGTTTTGAAACAGATGGCTCGATCTCACAACTTGTTTTTTGGCGTTTTTTGAAAGAGAATGTGTACAAGCCATACTGCCGACAACTCTTGACGATCTCAGACATCGTATCACAACACCAATAAATCTTGTATTGAGAGAGATGCTCCTGCGAGTTTGGGATAACTTCAATCATCGAATGGATGTGTCCTGTGCAGCCAGAGCACACAGAGCATTTATAGTTTTTAGCCATAATCTTGTAAATTCTTAAAAAAAATCCCCTTCTATTGTGTAAATAAGTTTTTTACACTGTAAGTTTCTTTGATTTTAAATTTTAATTAAAAAAATAATTTAAATCGAGGTTAAAATCTAAAAATGTCTCTAGAGGCTAATTTTGCAACCATGTTTACCAAAGTGGTGTAAAACAAAACATTAGAATCTCCTCTTTCAATTCTTTCTCATCCCGGGATGATAGATTGTATGGTTTTTCATTTATAGTTTCAAAAGAGTAACAATAATTTTGAATCACCCTGTATATTGACACTTATTCATCTATAATTTTTATTTATTCTTAATTCAACCCTTACCTGTAGGGAACCGACAGCAAAGGGTTGCTCTACTGTGGCCAAAGGCGGACCAGCAGTTAAGTGAACTTCTTCCTAAAACATCAACTATTATAAGAGTAATCATGTGATTGTCTAAAGTTGTTAAACAACATTTATGTGTTAATAGAATGAAAATAGTTTAAAAAGGTTCCTCTGGATGAGGAGCGGTATTCAAAATGTTGTCGATGAATCTAAAATCCTAAATCAAATGGATTTAAGCTGATTTAAACTTAACCTTGTCACTTGGGTTTGATGTTGTTTAATGATTTATTGCAGAGTTTCCAACCAATGCTTATTAAAACAGAAGATAAACATAGTTTCGGTATCTAAAATGTTGAACCAGATTCAAATCTAACCCAATATTCAGGAAAAGAACGTAGATCAACGAGACAAGTACGCAAACGGGCGGCACTGGGAAACACATTAGCTAAAATCTACTCAGCGCTGATTAAGGTTATCTGAAAAATTAAAATTAAAAACAAAAATTAAGTTATCTGAGCGCAACAGTTTAATTATTTTATTATAATTTAAAACTATCTAACAGAGTTTGATATGCTAATGAATCCTCTACGCCTTCTAATAATCCTTCCCCTACATTGCGATCTAGGGATTCAAACCTTTACAGCTAGTTTTAGACAGTGCTGCTGTCTGTGAGTGTTCCAGCAAACTACGTCAACTCTCGTCATAAAGCAGCACATCCCCGCACGTCATTTGCTGTTCGTCAGACCGAAATATTTGAAAGTAAAACGGGTTCGCTCGACGCTGCGCCTCACCGGGGCTACATCTGCCATTAGTGGACCGCAGCGAACGTGTTAAATAGATTTAAGTAAAAATACAATCCGGCAAATTGAAATTCGCTTAGTCTGTAGGTATGCTGCGGCAGGGGTATTTATTTACCTTATACTCTCCACCTAATCTAAGCCTGTTGTTACAAAACAAACATTTATTAAATTAGAAACATGAAAAACAATTGTAACAATATAAGCTAGGCCTACTTCATTAAATCATTGATAATATTGAAGAATTTTTACCATTAATCCAGTTTTGCGCTGGTTACCCTTTCGTCCGAGAATTTGTGGTGTTTCGTCCAAAAACTCATCACCCATTGCTTCTTTCTGGAAATGAAAAATGCAACTGTGATTGTGTAACACCAAATGTTTTATAGATTTTGAAATTCACAATTATTGAAGTATCATATAAAATAAAAACCAAACTAACTAGGAATAATAAATTCAGTTTAATAACTGGATGGATAACTTTGTGATATCTTACTTTGAAGAGGAGTTTGAGAAAATATTTGATAAGTGTCTTAACGTTACAATACTTTGCCAGTGGTTTTGATCTTATTATATGATGAAAAAGTAAAACAAAATGTTTGGGCAAACGTGTGTATAAGAAAATACAAATACATTGCAAAATGATAAATGAACAGAACTGTGAAAATTTTAGTAACAACCTTTAGAATTTAAACTTTGAAACCCACCATAAACATGATCATAAATAAATTTAATCTTGCTCAAAAACAATAATATTTAGCTTTACAACAATATGCATATTTACCTTTTCATATGTATTTGTGTAAACACCTCTTGTGGCAATAGGAGGCCACGTACTCAGAGACTAAAAAATGCAAACAGTGAAATTATCACTCAAAAATAACTCATTGAATACAGTTGTTGTTTTACTACCGATTATTTGGTGCTTAAATGTACAAGACTACAAGATCGCGCCACATCCTACACTCATCTCCATTCATACTTGGCTTAAAATACCTACATTGCATGGTTGCCATTTCATAAGAAAGTATTAAAGTATTAAAAGTACCTTTTGATTCATAAGGAAGGAAGAAGTATGCATACATTTACGTGTAGGGTTATTAATTGAATGTATACTCATCCTCAAAACTTCACATAACCTCTCTATCACTGTGTTATTTTAAAGGCTTATTATTGTTTGGCTCAGTGTTAAGTGAGAATGGGAGGGGCTAAATGACCAAAAACTGAACTAGTTAAATAACGTTATACTATATGCTTTAGATAATACGAGTAGAAATAATTCTTTTTTAAAATAATTTTCTCAAAAAATTTTTGTATCTGAAACCTGCCATGATGTGTCAGTTACCTCGAGAAACTTTCCACACTCGCTTGCGGCTCGTGCGTAAACATTTCTCTCAAGTGCAGCAAAGTACCACTTTGCACACTAGTTACACAAATAACAATTTCCCCTAATGCATAAAACCCATCAGGGTTTGGAATTTGGTCATCCATCATCAACCTCATATCAGAAAACATGATCATGTAATAACGTAGTGCATTTGTTTGAAATGAATTAGTTTATAATCCTTAACTCACCTTTACTTGGGGTATCCATGGCCTCGTCTGAAAAAAAAAACAATAAATTTGGAAAATAAGTTCTGTTTAAGATACATTTATTTTCTAATACAGTATTACTTCAAAAAAATTAAACTTACACAATTTTCTGGGCGTTTTGGCACTTGCAGACCCTTCTGCAATATATTAACAGGAAATTTTTAGAAATCCTTTCTATCCATGAATGAGCTAGCCATTTGCCTTTCTAGCTCACATGTTAGTACAACATTTATTAAAATTCTTATTTTCCAAACAAATTTAACATACCTGCCACATATCGTTTCGTTGGTAAATGTTACTTTCATCCTGTCGTTTCATCATTTCGTTACGTTGGTGCATGTTTTCCTGAAATCAAACAAAAGTCATGAGTAAAGAATAAGATTAAGATACTGTTGTTATATTAATAATAAAATTATTTTTCAATGTGAATCCTATTTTTCTGGTTCAAAGGTAGATTGTTAGGTTCTTCAACCTAAGAGTTATACTTTTGAAAAGATTTTTCAAAATTTAATTTCCTGAATACTAATCTGCTCTATTGAGATTAATACACTACTCAGCCATTGCTGTACCAAGCAGTCGGTATAGTTAAAACAACTTATAGAAAATATAGGACAGCAAGAAAAATCTATATATTAAATCAAGACCAAACAAAATTATTGTGTTATTTTTGTTTACATAAACATAAGATGACAAGCTGATGGGCTCAGGGAAATCTTAAATATTTATGAACGATTAGACATATAAAAACACTTGTTATGACATGTTCACAAATACATGATTTAATTCCAAATAGTTACCTTAACTAAGCTGGCTGTCTTCCATGTCCAAGTCTGAAAAAAATTGTTTAAATTAAATAAAAACAATGATGAATATTTAATATTCATACAAATACATATTTTATTAATTGTATTGTATATTATTTTAACTGTGAAAACTACTGGCTAACCCAATGCAAGATATTAATTTTATTGGTGATAAAAGAATTTTTTCATTAGGATTGTTAGTAAAGAAATGTAAATAAATAAAAATTGAAGAAAATTACTAGTATAATAGGCTTAATATTAAACTATTATACTTAAAATAGTACTTACTGGATGCACTTTTTGATCATGAGGTGCAAAATATGGCTTTGGACTGGTGTGACCCTTCCTAATCTACAGAAAAAAAAAGAGTTTTACTAAATAGTATTATGAATAGAATTACTTTGGGGTTTAAGGATTTCAAAATGTGTTCTCTACTATTAAGAAAAAACTATCCTTTAAAAAAAAAATTGTAACTTTGTGAATATTTTGAGCCTTCTCTTTGTGACACTGAGAATTTAATAATAATTTCTAAATATGTTAGACAGCACAGTTCGAAACAAAAAGTTTTTGAAGATGTGTACATTAAATGTTTAAAATAATTTGAAATTAACTATTTACCATTACTGGTTCAACCATTTTGTAGCAATTATTTGTTTTCCCAAATCAGGTTTGTATTAGGGAGATTTTCAGATTAGTTCTGATTAGCAAGATTCTAGTAAATATCTAAACATATTGTTGACTTGTAGTGTGATCATTTGACAACACTGGACTCTGCTGTGATATGGGTCAAGTTTCTGTTTTTTACGTTATGTAGAATTAATTGTGACTATGCAATCTCTACCATGCATTTGTGTTTAATGACGATAACAGACTTGTATTCTTATTCTTATCACACCTGAGCCTTGTGCCAATCATAGATGCCGTCCGAGGGATGTGTCGGCTCCGGCCAGTCGTCGGGCGCAGGTTTGAACTCGATCTTGTGTGTGCTTGGGTTCAACGGATTCTCATAGTTCCTCCACTTAAACAAATATATGAATATTATCAGTTTATTAGTTTAAGGGGAATTTTCTTACCAATGTCATTGCGATTTTTGAATATTAACCTTGATACCAGACTGTATCAAATGGGTTATAATGGTTGTAGTTATCAAAATACTTCTTAAGGTTTGTGTCAAAATTATTGCTTTTGTTTTTACAAACTTTTTTGTGTTATTAAAAAAATATATATCTATAATTACTCATGAAAAACTTACATCAAATGTGGTTGCTTCATTCTCTCTGGGCTGCAACATTAACAATATAATATAATTACATTGATAGTCTTTTCTAAATTAGAATTTACCAACAGAACATATATATCTTTCAGTGTATAGTATATCAAACAATTATATCAATTAAATCAATAATTTAAGATGGGAACGCCACTATTTGCATATTTTAACCCAAATATGAGTGAAGAATGAGAGTAGGATGAGTGGCGTGGTATGAAGTTGTAGTAGTGGAATATTCTTAAGACTGTTTGCCTATAGGCAAGAAAATTAGACATTTATTTTTTAGATACACAATGAATTGAACTTGTCGTAACTTTTTCTAAAGTTGCTATTTCATTACGGAACAAGTGAGATAATAGCTATTTACCTTACAAGTGTAGTAAGAGCGTTTTTACATCACGCAGGTGAATGTTGTGCAACGAGCGGAAGCGAGTTGCATAATTTACCGAAGTGATGTAAACACGCTCTTGCGTAACGTGTAACGTACAAGATTTTACCTGACCCGACAATATACAGGAGGTTACGAACAATATTTTTCATTATCCATTTCACTCATCTTCTAACAGTAACGTTCATTTACAAACAAAAGCTAGGTTAGGGAAATTCTTCAAAACATAACAATAAAATTCAAGCGCACAGCTGATTTCTAGCGTTGAACGTCGTTGGCTCCATAGAGGTATATTTTTTAAGTTAATCACTCAATGTTATTTAAATGGGTTTCATTACATCACCGAGTGAGTTTTTTTCAACTTTACATCACTCGAGAAGTAACGAAGTTATATACATCACGCTTGGGATAGGGAAGTTTAACATGGCGGGTTAGGTAAACTAATATAACTAATTAAGTTGTTACATTTATAATTCAAGGATTTCTGTGGTTGGTGAAAAACTGAATCAACAGATTGATTTTAAGTACATTTTCAACTCGTACAAGGCTACGCAATTTATTAACAAAAGACCATCTCGATAATGTAATGTATAAACAAAATTACCTTCACATCTGCGACAGATGGTAGATTTTCGTCACTGTATACCCGAGGACCGATGGTTACAATACCGGTACGTCTCTTGCCAACTTGTATACCTTGCTGAAAAAAAGGGTATCATTAAACCGAAGCACGGTTTTGTGCACGTACAATGACAAAATCAAAGAAAGTAATTCATACTTGGTGTGAGCATAAATTTTCTTTAACTTTTCTAATCCATGAGGTGGGAACTAGACTAGAATATAAATGTGTTTAAAGTTGGTCTAAGATTTTAACTAGCTCTCTTGGCAGCAACGGAGGAGCTGGATAGACCTTCGTTTACAGGCAACCCTTGTACATACAAATCTTAGTAAAATCCTTGACACCAGGAACATGCCCAAAACATGTTATAAGATGTTTACTTTTTTCAAATTCATCTAGACAATTCATAACTGAAAGTATTTTGATTTAAAATGATGCAATGCAGACAAAAATTAAAACATTGTTGAGTTTAAAACTTACAACAATGGGGCGAAGAGTGGGTGGTTTCCAAGATGGCGCAACTTGCCAGTTTTTGGGGACTTCAACAAACTTCTTTGCTTCTGTTGTCACAGTCACTGGTGGTTCCTGTAAAAGAGAACTTAGTTTATTCAAAATCTATTTAGACATTTTCAGCCCCTGCCCCTTCTTACCGCCACTGGCTATGAACAAAGTGGTGCATGAGTGTGTGAGTCATATAGATGTGGCCATTTCAACTATGACGTAAGAATGAGAGGAAATATACTCTACATTTAAGTACCTAAAAAATATGTTAGGAAACGTGTATGTAATAATGACTTTTGATATTTAGTACATACACACAAAATAATTAAAAAAATAAACAGATAGCACTTTCTAATAAAATTCTGTAACACCAACAGTGTGTGTGGGGGTGGGGGGGGGGACTAAAACCCCTCTAAGGTACAAGGGAAGAAGTTAATTACTTGAATACTAGTAATTCTTAATAGATTACCGTAGGAGCGCTTGTAGCGAGCTCAAAGTCTTCCACATTTAGCAGTTCGTCAAGTTCCCTCGACAAATCTCTGACAATGTTTGGTTTTTTCCCAACTTTCACTTTTCTCAAATTCAGCTCATCACTCTCCATGTACTGGAAAAATTCATAAGAATTACACTCCACAAAGGCACAATCTCCTATACATGTATGTACATTATCAGGTGTACTCTAACTTACACAAGAAAAACCTTTGAAAATGATTCATCATGTTTGCAAACTTCACAATCGGAATATTATACTGTAAGAGAAAGGACAAGTGAAAATCTTATATTTCTGAACATTAGGGTTTAATCAAACGAACCAACAACTAGGCACCATACAGTGAACAGGGTGCAGAAAAAAATTATGATTTGTCTTTTGTTTTTATTTTTCTTACTCTACTACTGAACACAGTAGCATCTTACCCTTATGAGTAAGATATTGGTTTACAAGACAGACCGAGCACAGAGAAAATAAACTCTTTTTCTCAATATAAGTTTTCTTGTTCATATTCAAGATTCAAAATAGTAACATTTTTAACACAAATTGTAAAGAACGTTGATAAAAAAGTAAGATATTTTTTCAACAAGACAACTCAACTTTGAATCCAAGTTGAGTGTGTTCTTTAGAAACTCATCCAAACTTATAAATATTTACAAGTAACATCCAAATTGTACATGTTATTATCAACTATAGTTCGGCCGCTTAGAAAGCGACCTCCTCCAGCATTGGTTTAGCATTAGCGTGCAGGTCGTTTTCTAAGCGGCCGAACTATAATCACTCACTCCTACAAACTCGACTTTACATATCTTTAATGCAGCAGTAGAGAGAAAACTAAGCATGTAATTTAAAACAAAATGTATAAACACTAAAAAAATTACAAAAAAATAATTTATAGTCAGTATCAAAGAAACCAAATAAAAAATAATATCATAAACATAAATTTACCACTAAAGAGATGGTTGGGTAAAATAAATCAAACTTACAATTCTGAATTTCTTAGATTTTGTCTGCATTTTCTTCGTAACAGGTGCCTGAAAAAATAATTTAAGTTTTAAAGTATAAGTCTAAAAGCTTTGTGAATTTCCTTAATAATATGAATAAAAGTGTAAGTAGGATAGACAGACCTTAGAACTTAATTTAACGACTAAGGATAGTTTTTCTCAATTGCTTCATACCTCTGTAGTTTTCTTCTTTTTCTTTTTCTTCTTCTTTTTGAGCTTGATTTTCCATTCGTTTGACATCGGAGGAAGATTAAACCCCTAAAATCAATGTATTTTTATACTTATGATTTATAGAATGCAAATATTATAATGATAATAATGACAAGAACATAAACATAATTTCTTTTCTCAATATTAATACATACAAGCATCTAGAATTAGTTGTTGCACCGTAAAATAAAAGAAGTGTTAGAAAATATTTTACACTAGGATAACATTTACAGGTAAATGCACCTCATTTTTTAAAATCCTTTTATTTAATGTGCAAAAAGCATTCTAAAAGTACAGCAAAATATGGGAATAGTAGCCTAATGAAACAAAACAGCAAAAGGAACAAAGCAACAAATTTGAAAATGAAAAATTTTAAATATAATATTGTGAATTAAATTTTAGATTTATTACATATAAAAGCATGGAGAGAACCCAATTTTGGGAGTATTTGGTGAACCAGAAAAAAACCATTTTAAACATGCTCCATGTTTTAAATGTATAAAATTGTAATTTCAGTGAAAAGTTCATTTGAACAAATAAAATATATACTTCAATCCATGTTTTTAGCCCCTGAGCTGTAACGTAAATAAAAATAGGCTTTATCTTCTTCAATCCAGCTCAAATGTGTTTTGACTTCAAAGATGCTACTTCAGCCCAGATTTTTAGTTAATATATATATATATATATATACTTATATATATATAAATTAAGAACATGTACGAAAAATGGGAGGCTATGTTAAAAAGTATCAACATTTGACTCACCCCACCTTCATCACTTTCGTCTAAAACACCGCTAATCTGAAAATATTTTTGAACTATTAAGGTAATATCAAGGTGAATATTTAAGTTGTATTTACTTAAATAATACAATAAACAATTTTTGCAACTATTATAAAATGTTTGATATATTTTTACTATAATCATGCCCACTCACAATTAATAAAAATCATTTTTAAACACAATTTTAAAACATGTTAAACTCTTGTCAACACTTGTTTTAATATTTGTTTCATATCTTGAAATAAAACAATTTTTAAACTTCATTGATACTCATATTAAAGTTGCTCTAATACAAAAATTGTGTGAGCATGTTTTAAAATTGTATTGAAACACTTGTTATACTAGTTTTCAACAATTTTTTTGCTACTTGGGCTATGTTAAAAAGTATCAACATTTGACTCACCCCAACATTACTTTCGTCTGAAAGACCGCTAACCTGAAAATATTTGTGAACTATTAAGGTAATATCAAGGTGAATATTTAAGTTAAATAATACAACAAACAATTTTTGCAGCTTCTAAAAAATCTTTAGTATATTTTTACCACAACAGTATGATACCCACTCTAACAATGAATAAATAAACATTCTTAAGCATATCCATTAAACTCAGTGTTTTATAGTTTATAAATTATTTTAAAATTCTCAAGCAAAAGAAAAATTACACAAGAAAAAATACATTCAATATATACATGTTCCCACTGAGAATTAAAGTCATAACAAAATGACAAATTTATTTTATGACTATAAATTCATCACATGTACTTAGTTGCAAAATGTGTCAATATGTTTTCAATTTTGAGACTTATTAAAAGTTATAATTTGATATATAAAATCAATCACATTTTTGCAGAATCCCACTCACAAAACAGAAAATACCAAAACATCTGACCAAAATAGTAATACAATGTTTTTGTTTACTTAACCTAAAATGCCAGAAAATTCTAGTCTCTGCACCTCAAAAATAGGATGGATAACTGTCGGGACATTTTTAATACTGCGCGGATCCTTGGCTATCATTATAGCCATTGTTATTCTCTTGATTGTTTTTGAAGCCGAGAACAAAGACTGTAAGAACTGTGCGGCGGTGTTTTTCTGTATTGTGAGTGGGTTAGGTTACATGTTTATTGGTGGATTGATCATTGTGAACAGCAGTTCTATAAATTGTTTAATAACCAGTGTGATAGTGGCAATATTAGTATTGGCGGATCTTTTAAGTGTGATTGTTTTTTTCGCCTGGAACAACCTGAAGTTAGCAGTGCTAATTCCATATGTCGGTCTAAAAGTTGCCGGTTTCGTTTATCTTGTGCAATTCTTCAGGAATGTCGGACAAACTCGGCGCAATGATGAACTAGAGATGCAAGCGGTTCGACGAGATGCTTTGGAATAATAATGAAAACAAACCACTCACATACATAATTGAAACATTATGCAAACCCTGAAATATAGTTTGTATAACTTTACTTTTCAGTTTGATTTGTTGTAACTGACAAGGTAAAATAAATGTAATTCTCACTGCAAAAACTGAAAGCTCATACTGAAACTGCAGTTAAAAAAAATATTATAAAGATTAATTTTAACTTTGAATTGTAGACCTACCTAATATTTTCATATAAATTATTTTAACTTTACCATCAAAAAAATTATGTGCAAATCACAGAAAATTTTTCTAAATTCTAATGATTACTTCAATCAGCATACTTACATCTCGTTTTGATCGTGACTTCTTTGGTTTTTGTTGGTTTACAAAGCCTGCTTTTTCCTAAAAAAGTTTAATGGAATTTATTTTGTATGTATATAACATAATTATAATTATGTGCCTACCAAATATAACAAAGAATTATTACCACAATTGTATAGACTAATGCCCATTTCAACGGCAAAGCCTCTATGAGTACCTGCTGTTAAAAATATGGCATCAAGTAAGACAATCAACAAGCATCAAATAAATAAACACAGATGTACTGGTGTACCAGTATGCATAGAATCATAGACAAAAATAATTAAATATAGACCGTCAGCTGTGCTGCGGTTACCATAGGTTCCGGCGCACACTACTGGGAGCGCAATTTGTTATGGTGTACGCGCTATGTAACTAACCACTCCCAGCGGTGTGCACCAGAACCTATGGTAACAATGGTAAGAGGTGCACTCTTCCCATTCCATTAACTTCAGCCTGAGCGTTCCTCTAGTTTATTTTAGAGCCTACCAAGCTGTGCATAGGTGAAACTCATGAGTTTCAAAGTTTCACACTGAGCCTAACAAAGATAGAATCATAGACAAAATAGAATGAATATAGACTGTCAAAGGAAGGTTCCGGCACCCACCGCTAGGAGTGCCGTGTAGTTACGGTGCACACTGCTGCAGGCGAGGAGCGCAGGAGCTGTATGTGACCAGCAGACGCTGCAGCGGTGTGCGCCGTAACTACACGGCAAACCTAGCAGTGGACACCAGAACTTATGCTAACTGCAGCACAGCTGACGGTCTATATTCTATTTGTCTATGATAGAAGTCAAAGCCTTAATCTACTGTGCTGTCTCCTGGCCAAGGAAACAATGTCTCCTTGATCATCGGACCAACAATTCACCCCACAAAAAATCTCAGTTTAAACTCTATGCACTGGTGCATGGTACTGTGGAGTCCAGCATCCCGTGAAGGCAACAATAGTTTTAAGTTTAAGCCATTGACGAATCCAAGACGTGGGTCTCGAGCATGCGCAGACCACAGGACAGAGTCGGAGGTCAACCACAGAAGGAAGAACAAGAACATGGCTGGGTAACCCGTGCCGAATGTGGGGTAAGACCCCAGTGATGTATGGTTGTTAGTTCCCATCTATTCTAAATTTTTGAAATTTACTATATTATTTATTTCACCTCCAATTATATGAAATGTCCTTTTGAATTTCAGTTTCAGCATTTCAGATATCAAATATTGCACTAATTAATCTTTCACGTTTGTGCCCGGGTCAACTTTGGTCCATTAGCTAATACCTTGATTGAAAATGAATAATTCCATAGTAAATAGTTAATGTTTGCATTCATCAAAGCTGGCTTCTTGGGCTCGTGTTCATCTGTGTTCATACCAGATGTATAATTGCATAGTATCGAAAATCATACAAAACTTACTGATCTGACTTTTCTTGCCGGCTTTCCAGAATCGAACCTTCTGTTGACTGCGGGTCTCTCCACAGATGTCGAGTCATCAATGTCCGAGTCAGGCCAATCGTTCTTCCTGCCAACCTGTGCAGTATTTAATAAGAAATAAAGAGTGTTGCTTCCTATTTCTACATTTTTTACTCTTTGACTTCTGAGACAGTTCAAAAGTTGGAGAAACAAAATAAATAAAAAGTTGGCTGCGATGCTGTCTGTAGCAACAAAATCATAACACGTAAAAACCACACGGAAAAGGAAAGTTTAGTGCTGTGTGGTGGTCTTATTTGCAACTGTACATTTTCTTGTGACAATCCTTTCTTAAAATATAGTTCTGCTTTGTCCCTGGCCAAACAGTTCCTAACAGTTAAAAAATTGTAAGCCGATTTACCTTTCTAAAACTTCGGAACCCTCCAAAGTTCCATCTTGAAGTAGTCACTTCGACAACATCCTGGAAACAGATTTTTTTAAATTCCAAAACTTTTAGTAAATTTCCCATAGGGCTATTACAGTAGCTATTACAGTACGTCTCATGGTAATACCTGGACCCCAGACCGATTTACTTTTGTGTTTTGATGTCCAGAGAGGCCAAAAACACCATCTGTTCAAATTTATACATATGAGTCCGTTAGTAATGGTAACTTGAGCAAAGATCATCCGATTTTGATGAAATTTGGTACAAACGTGTAAACTTAAGTTTATTCAAACAAATTCTCAAAACAGCATAAACGGACCATGGGCACAGGGTTTTTGTGGGGGGTTTTACGGAGTAAAAATTGGGTTTTCTCATTTTTTACCTAAAAAATTTAAATTTCTCAATTTCTCCCTTAATTATTTTGTAGAGCAAATAATTGAAATAATCTTGAAGTATTTTTAGTAGCTTTATTGGTTACAGAGCAAATAAAAAAAATTACATTTAAAATTCTCATGTTATTCTTAATTCTTATGGAGAATAAGTAAACTGTTGTAGTTTGCTTGTTTATGGACATATTTTTATCAAACTTGGTAAATTTGATTTATTTTAAACTATGCTATTAATATTTTACTACAAAACACATATAACCCTCCCTGTAGCAGCAAACCTAGGTACTCGTAAAAAATAATGTTATTTAAATAGATTTAAGTGGAAATAAAATAAGACAAATGAAAATTTTATTAGTTTGCAGGGTTGCTGCAGCGGGGGATTTTACTAATTTTAATATCCGTTCAATACGGTTGAAGTAATAACTTTTATATAACTGTAACAAATAGACTTGGTTTTTACAAATCGTCTAGCTAAACTGATTATCATAAGTAAAAGAAATTAAGAAATTATTAATTAATCAATCTTACCTGAACATCAACTCTTATTCCTTTGCCTCCTCTCTGAAACAAAGTTCAATAAAAGAAAATTATACTTAATAGTTTTGTTTTTAATAAACACTCTCACTGTATATCGCTCTACTGAGACTATTGCTTTACAATTACTAAAAAGCAAAATAATTTTGTAGGATAATAATTGCTCTGATGACCAATGAATGCGTCTCGGGCTACCACCATCAACTGCAGACTCTCGTGGTCCCTAGTATAATTTAGCAATTCTATATATCTATTATTTGAGGTACTGAAACCATTTTACAGGATAAAACCCTCATATTTCCTGAAAAGAGAGAGTTCCTGACAAATCGTTCCACTTCATCCCTCCTCAAACTGAGCCCTAAAAAATGGATTTTGCCAATTTTCCAACTCACGTTTTTATTAGAATACCTCATAAGCGCAATGAATTGTATAGACTTTGATTGCAGATCTAGTATATTTTAAATGCACCTTTTTAATTTTAAAATTTCTAAAAAGATTGTTTTGGTTGATTGCAACTTTTATATTATTTACACCACACCTTGCAACTTGGCTACCCACAGTGTTATCAAACAGAAGAGAGACGGATTGCCTTGGCTCCTTCTTCGCCTCTTTTTCAGCAATTCGTCCGGCAAGTCTGAACGCTTCCCTGGCTGTCCTGGGTCTATAGGCTTTCTGGAACATTAAGTAAGATTGGTAATTAACTTGGAAACTCCATCAGGTTTATAAACACCAACCAAACAATTGGTAGAACAACATCTGAATTTATATGTAATGTGTAGAATTAAGTAGATAGGAGGACAGGAAGCAACTAAGACTGCAAACTATGCTTTAGTAGAGTCCCACATAAGATATGGATTAGTGGTCTGGGAACCACGGATCAGAACCTTACAAGAATACTGCGACTTCAGAAAAAAGCTATATAAGAACGGTAGCTGATCTCAACCCTACAGAAAGCTGCAGGGAAGCTTATAAATCACTAAAAGTCATGACTGTGATATCACTATTCCTTGCAGTTATTAACTATACTGAACAGAATGAGCTTACAAGAGGAAAAGATTCTCACTCTCACAACACTCAAAGACAGACTACCTTCTCCCAGCTCACCATACAACTCAATACAGCAGTTGAAGCCTACCTACATGGGACAAAACGTCTTCAATAGCCTGCCCAACCACTTGAAGATCTTAAGAAATCAAGACTTGACGAGGAAACTCAAAGACTGGCTAATGGATCAACCATCCTACTCACAAAGGAATTCTTTGATCAAAATTGTTAAGCAAAAGGAAAATTCAAATTACAGTCTATGTATATGGAAATTACCCCTGCTCTGCCTCACAGGCTGTCAAAGATGCAGTCATTTTCTAATGGAAGTACTGCTACAGTGTTTATATAAGCTGTTTTATACGAGCTGATGTAAACATTATGTACTTGATGTTTATTGATTTTTGTGTTCTGTTTATAGGTTAGAATGGTAATGCAGTGTTGACATGTAACTTATCCTGTTAGGGTAAGACCACGGCTAAATGTGTAAAAAAGTGTGTAATTAATTTCACTTTGTATACCTAATTAAAAAGCAGCACTTGCTGCTATGGTCCCCTAGTGAGTGATTAAATATAATATATTTTTGTACAAAACACAGAATAAACCAAACCCTCATAAATAATGTATACATTCCTATTGTAGAAATTTTACACTAAACACCATTACAAATTCAAATACAACAAAAACACTTACAATTAAATTTTCAGATCTCAAATGTTCTTGTCTTGCCAACCGCTCGTAACTACTTCCATAACCGTCATCTGACAATTTTGTCCCCTCCCCCCTTCCCAGACCCCATAATACTCCAGAAACCAGGCAGATGCCTGCCCACCCCCTAAACTCACACTTCATGAAAAGGGATCATGTTAAAGCTGTGATTAACTCATTGTAACAATGTTAAGCATTGCAATTAAGATAAGATCATAGTGATATATTGTATGGAGAGAATTAAGCTTAAGAACACTAACGGGAGTTTCTTCGATTAACTATGGAACAATTTTTTAGGTTTGTATTATTTTAATATTTTAACTAAAATAAGATTAAATGAAATGTTGGAATTTAATTATGCTAGAATTATGTGTAGTACTGGTTCACACTTAAAATATATTAAAAAAAACACTTGTTTGTACCACAGAGAAGCAAGAAATAAATAACATTCTATCTTACTTCTCCGTGGTTGTATTATGAACTATTATGGTTTGAAAACTTATTTAATTTTAATATTGTAAAATATTATAATGCAATGTTATCATTAGCAATATCTCAATTTAAATACATTACTAAAAGGTAAAAATGTTTGGTTGAAAAAAATGTTTTGTTGTAAAAAAATCTATTGGTAAAAGAAGTTTATCCTAAAAAATGTCATGGCAATACAAGTAATCAATATCAGATATTTGCCAGCAGTGAAATCAATGAACATAATTTTATTTTTTAGATAATTGACCTGGAACTATATTTTTACCAGGGGTGGGAAAAATAATTATTCTATTTGTTGTGTATACCTAAGCTTCACACTATAGCTTCAGCAACTAAATGCAGCATGTTTACCAAAGGTTTTGTCAAAGAGATGTTTGTTTATGAAGATAAAATAAAACCCATTAAATCTGATTGAAAAAAACCAAATAATTAAAAAAAATCAAATCCCTTGGACAAATTAGTTAAAATAATTATGTGTCTTAAAATGTATTATTTGTTGATCAGTGCATTAAAAAAATGAAGCCCTAAAGAGCAATTAATTTAGTTTTTCTTCCATTAACAGTTATAAATTTGTATTGCGTGAACTATGAAAGAACAAGTCAACAAAATAGTAAAAACTGTTATTTTGTTTAGTATGGTGATTATATGACTCTCATATTGCACCATGCACACACATTGACTCCCCATAACTATCTTGATAAGCTGATCTTCAGATATCACACCACTTACGTAACATTCTAACTAGATTCCTGTCTGTTGTGTGCTATGGTCTTCTTTGTATGTTCACCCCTTGGGAAGAAATGCGACCATGTTTTTCGTACCAAAACTAACCTTTTTTGTTTATATAGCTCTAAAACTATCAGCGGTGTACTCTTCGATCCATTTTGACGAGGTGGAATTTTACGACCCGAATAAAACTTTGGACGAGTCTACTTCCAATGGATTTATCTGTGCACACTTGGGCGAGGAGGTAGGTTTACTTATGTTGAAACTTTTTTACCGTACAGTAGTTTTAGCTGTTATTTTAAAATCCTTTTTTACAACAGAAGACTCTATGCACTACTACTTTAATCAACTTTTAATTTTCGGTTCAAATAAAATTAATAAAAAAATATAAAAAATTATATGTATATAAATAAAATGTACAAATTTAATGGTTAAAAATGACATTTTGTCTGTTAAACAATAATGGTAGTTAAGTTTTGTCCAAACAAAAATAATTTTCACCTTCCAGTTCCATAGTCTTTGATATTTTTAAGGAACTGTGATCAATATCACAAATCTAACTTTGACACTATCACCATTAATTGGATTCAGTTATTTTGATTATTGTGTTTTATTTTGAACAAACGATTCTAATCTTTGACAACCACCCTACCATTATTTCTTTCATTTTGTATCATAACATGTATTCAATTTTTATCCTATTTCAACAAGACTTCTCTTCTAGGCTGTGTCTTACATCCTACACAAATTAACACCTATTAGCGTTTTTTCAAGTTATGGAAAGCAAAACAGTTTAGTACAAACAATTTAGCTGAGATTAGCTTTGATCCTGATAACTTTTTCATGATTCCAGTGTCAGATCTCAGCGCAGTGCTGCGGAGTGGCGACTTGTGCTCTTCCATCCTGGTCTGAGAAAGCAGTGTGCCTTGTGCCGGGCTACAAACATGACGAGAGATTCAGAAATAGATTCTTCGCTCTACACCATCTTCAACCAGCAGACATACAGTACATACGAGACTCTTACAACACTTCACAGTACGACTTCCTATTGACAGACCTCACTTTTTCCGCTCCACCTCTTGAAGTTGCCAACACATCGTTGGGATTGGCTGCAAACCTCACAGTGGAAGATGTGTCAGCCGAGGATTTTGGTGATGGTGGAAGAAATCACTCAGTAGAACCGGTCCCAAGTGTGGAAGGGGCTGAGTATGGTCATACAGAAAATGCTTCCTTGGAAGAAACTTATGAACAAAATTCTACATCAAATCATTCAATTTGGTCAAATGCACGGAATGAGACCTTGTTGGACAACTCTCTTGCAATTAATAAAACATACTCATTGGCGAATTCCACATATTTGTCTCAAAATGAAGGTTTTGATTTTAAAACCCATTTCATGTTTTTGCTTCTAAATAACACACTGAAAACAAGTCCGTCCAAATTTGAATTAAAGGAGTTTTATGACCAAATCACAAATACTGATAGGTTTAAAAATGTTGTTGAACATCTTAGAGCAAAATTAAAAGAAATCAATGAATTAGAAAGTAACTTGAATAATCAAAGAGAATATAGCACTTTGAAATACATTGGAAAAGAAACTGATGGGCCGACAACCGAAAATATTAAACCAACTGAGGAACCCAGTAAATGGAATCATGTTAGAAGGTTTTTTATTAACTCTCAAAACCAGCCAATTAATACCAGTTTTCCAGTAAAGAGCAATTTAAAAGAAGTTGTAGAAGATGTATTAAAGAAACATGCTAATGCTGATAACTTAAAAATGGAAAATACAGCAATTAAACCACCTAGAGATTACCCTGAATTTCTGAATGACAATGAGAAATTTAATAAGATATTTGAGGATGTTGATAAAATTGAAGACATCATCGATAATGACAGAACAATAAACACATTTCATAACAACAAAGCAAATGAAGACGGTTTGATTGACTATTATAACATAGATATGCCATTTTCATCATTTCATGACATCCCTCAGAGAACTGTTAAAATGAACGATTCACTGGACAGTGTATTCAAAGATATAGGTGATACAATCAGCTCAATAATGAACAATAACAATGAGGGAAATCAGGAGCAAAAAGGCATCAATGATGAAAACAATAACGGAGATTCACCAACACAATATTTTGCAAGTAATTTTAACAAAACTACTGTTACTGAAGAGAGGAAAATATCAAATAAAACCCACTTTTGGGAAAAAATACACTTCTGGAAAGTTCCCCAGAATTTATCTATAGAGGTTGAAAGAAGCCTGAAACACTTTTTCTTCCGTGAGAAAAATCAAAGTACAATGAAAAATGAAAACCATTCAATTCCACTAAAAGAGAACTATCAATTCAACCTTAACTCAAAAAACAACCAAGATACTGTGACCACCTCACAAAAAGAACCTGACAAAACGATTGATTACTTTATTGACTCTTCTGAATCAGAATTTTCCAAAACTGAAGAGTTATATAACAACTCGTACATATTTATGGTACATAAAGAACATCTGGATGAGCCAGCACAGCTCAGCAGTTGGAAGAAGGTTGTAAACTTCTTTCATAGGGAGAAAGGACAGCCAGTTACACTTGATGTGAATGTTCAAGATATTCCAGGGAATTCCTCCAGTTCTAGAAACAGTCCATCTGAATTTGAATCCGTAAACAACCAAAATATTGTTAATTCATCAAAAATCATCCGGCTTCCTGAGAATCTTATGCCACAAGTCCTTGATCAAAGACAAACTAATGAAACAGAATGGTTCATGGAGGATTTTGACGATTATGAAGATAAAATAGGAGAACATAAATCATCTGATGGCTCATTTCTTTTCTTCTTCAAATAGGGTTAGGGTTGACTACGAAACAAACTAATCCAACAGAATATCATCAAATTGTAAATATGTACATTAACTGAATTTGTAAATAATGACAATGACAAATACTGTAAAACACTCAAAGCTTGATTCTATTGAATGTGTTTGATTAAAAGTTCTTGTGAAAATAATAAACGTTGCTAGAAAGACAATAATGATATTTAGCTTTTTTGTCACTAAATGACTTTTGGATATACCGGTACTTAATTGTTTACTACAGTAGCCCCTTACCTGATCCTTGTGGTAATGATAATAACAAAATGATGATGATCCGCACCTGCTATGCCTTGAATAATGCTTGGAAACTGTCAGTCAACATTTTTTTAACATCATCCTCTTCATCACCATCTTTAATTAAATCATGTTTGGATTTGCACTATTTTCAAAGATATAAATTATTTCAATCATATTTATCTAAAAACATAACTAGTTTCAAATCTTCCCTTTTATTTCCTCGTTGACAACTGCAAATCAAAAATGCAGGATTGTTAACAAAATTATCACTATATACCTATATAACTATATAACCCAGTAAACAAGCTTTTGTATTCTAAAAAAATACACAAATCACCATTAGTTGCCTCCAAACAAAACAGCTGTTACAACCCTACTTGCGATGTTGCCACTCCGAAGGCCGCGGCCTGTAGTTAAAGGCGGCCGTGGCTACACCCAACACCCTCACGCCTGGGATCGTATTAATATGGAGACATGTGCCTGCATGGTGTATGACCAGCAAGTTGTTTTTATACATTCAAAGTTAACTTTGTGTGTCACTGGCCTAATAATACTTTTGAGACATTTAATTACTCCTCTAAGGTGGTGGTGGTAAAGTATGAATTACAGACAAAGAAACACCTACTGTTGTGTTAATTTTAGGTTAAACCACAGATTAAAGAGTAGAGTAGACATATGTCAAATAGGTAGATACTCTCTTTAATCTATGTTTTAAACCATAGACTAACCAACACAAGTAGACTTCTCATCCCCATTGTAAATTTTGAAGTTCGTTTTTAGTGTCTAGTTCATGTCCGGTGACATTGATCGCTAGTGTTGACGATATATAAAACAGAGTATGTTTTATCAACTAACTAGTAAGGTATACACGTAGTGAAGCTGGCAGCACTGTTCTATCGCGACTACCAAGTCGATTGTTGTAATTTGCGGGATTCTTATCCCGTTTTCAGGATTTGATTTATGAATCCTTATCAGGATCAAAAAGGAACGGCAGGATATCAGGGGGATTAAAAAAAATCTACAAAATAAACGAGGGACTTTTTTGAAGCATGTGTTTTGCGCTTTACCCCGAGCTGCTATACCGGGAAGAAGACGCGGAAGAGAATGATGTCCCTATAAGCTCGCTGTACGAATTAGTTACACATTCGTAATTGATTACTAATTTTAGAAATCCTTTGGGGGCGTGGGGCAGAGCCCTTAGGAAATTCGTTCAACCTCGTAGTTTTCGGCAAATCTACCACACACTCTAACTCTACAACACGCAATATAATAATATATCTACTGTTGGTAGTGCAGATTAATCAATACCTTTGACTTTATTTAATTAATTTTTATGGATAACAGTCAGTAAAACTAATTAAAAGTTACGCTGCAGGTAGAAAGACGAGAAACTGCTGAATAAGTGGGATAGTTTTAAGTTGTTGAGCGGGACACAGAGGGATTTGCTACATAATATGCAGAAAAGGGAATTTAGTTTTTGCTAATCAACCGTGTTCGCTGTGGAGTTTGGCAACACTGACTCGGCTCTCGGCTGTGGTTGGTTGACGAGACGAGACGACGACGGACGAACGCGAGTCCGAGTCCGAGTCAGAGCTCCCTCTTTGTTGAGTTCGGATGTCAGTCGCTTTGTCTTTGTTTAGTTATGAATTACAAATGATTTTTGGTCGTTTATTAGTTATATTTAACTAAAATGTTAGCGTCCAAGTCCGGACTACCGGACAGTTTCAAAATGTTGATAGTTAGTGCTGTGATTTGTGTGATACTAGTGCGAGAATCGTCTTGTGTCGTATCCCGTAAACAACAACAAAGGCTTCTTCAGCTAGCCCAAAAACAGAACTACAATGTTCCCACTAGTAATCCGAATGTACCTAGCTATCAGGAATTGAATTTGCCTTTCGAGCAAATTAAATACAGTGTCGCCGATGTATCAAATGATTACAACAGCACCACAAAACATTACCCAAGAGGAATGGGACATCTCTACTTCATCACGAAAACCTTCATGAACATCATCTTTCCTGGGGAGCTATATCCTGAAGGTTAGTTCTTAATATTAGATAGCGTGTGCACCTAGGGCCTAGTTAGGACCTAAAATTATAAAGATTAAGCTGTTTACAGGGGGTAACTTACTTGTTTAAGGCCTTTTGTATTTTCAAGCTTTAGGCCTAGCCTATTACAGACCTATGGCATAGGTACAGGTCGGCCAAAGTTTCTGTGCGCGCGACCAGATCTGGTTGAGTCTAGGCGAGGGGGTTGGCGGGGGTACTTTTGTGAAAACATTTGTGTCTTGCTACTCACTCACCACTACCCCCAGCACTGCCAATAGCCGGTGCCCGTATGTTTTAGTTCGGCTAGTAGCGACCCGTCCACGCGCACAGAAGTTTTGGCCGAGCTGTACTCCTAGGCCAGACAGTCCCAAATTTTGGACTGGCAGATTCCTGTCATGTAGCTAATACAACGAAATAAATTATATCATCTACCGGAGGATAAACAGGAATGAATATCCCAACTCATCTAAAACGTCGTAATTATATAAGACGTTTTTAAACTGTTCCTAGACACAAACACTAGAGCCTACAACTTTCTCAAATGGCTTTTGTTGCCGAGATTTCCTGTAGACACCACCCCTGAAAAACTCGCTTAAACATCGTCACAGGAGTTTACTATAGGCCTACTAGACGTACATTAGGGTAGGAAGGTACCGTAATGTTGAATATGTACCGTGTTTAATGTCTGGTGAGTCCAACAGTATAAGTGTAAAAATATATTATTTAGGTCAAGTGGGGGTACCCTAAGTGTACACCCGGGGCAAGTAGACTTCCAGCTAATAACAAATTTGTTTATTAATAAAAAAATTTGATAACTTGGCCAAAGGTAATTTCAAACAAGGCCCTCTTCTCTTTTAAATTATAGGCCTAATCACTAAAAAATTCTTGCTATGATTTCTATGAGTTTACCATAAGTTAAATATAAATTTAAATATTTAATTATAATAGGAAGGATAAGTTGACTAAGTAGGGTAACTGAAATTTGGTAATCTTACGTATTTTTTGAAGGGGAATTAAAAAATAACATTTTTTTCGCCCTAAAAGTCAATTTTGGGGAGTTAGGGGGGGGGAGTGTACACTTACCCCGTGTAAAAACATGTTAGGGGCAAAAGTGTAATTTTTCCCATGTGGCAAGTATGTGCCCCCCCCTCAATGACTAATAAATTATCTAAGAATAAAGAAAACTTTGTTATCTCTTGCTTGTATTACAAGGAAAAACTTGAACTTTGTAGATTTAGTTTTTTGATGTTTAATATAGGTAGGAACATTTAGGGCTACCGGTAAAGTCAAATGCATTTTAAAGTATTAGAGGCGGTTCACGAGTCACGGGTTATCCTTAGTTCGAGCGCAAAATCCAGTTATAGCCGGTTTTTTGCGCCGCGGCTTGGAAATCGGCTTCACGAGTACGAGGTTACCCGCGCTCGAGCGCAGACAGATAAACTTCACCCAATTATGACAGGGATAAACCCGAGCGCAAAAAGTCGGCTTCACGGGTTCAATTAGAGTAAACCCCGGGCCAAATGTCGGGTTCACGAGTCATGGTCTAGCGCAAACTGGATAATCTCGAGCGTAAATAACAATGGTTTTGGTCTTCAACTTAACCCTGCTAGGGGGCAGGGTTAAGGTGACATCATGTCGGGATTATCTCATTTGCTCGTTTATTGTTATTTTGTTAGCAAAAAGAATGTTATATTCAGATTCGCCATTAAATTCCGAACAATTTCATTACCCTCAACATGATATGTATTTTTTTAATTTTTTTACTACTGATAGCCGAAAACATGCAAAACATCGTAAAAAGTAACTGTTGAGGCATTTTGATTAATTATTACTACGTAAAAATATAACTAATAGCTTAGCATATTCATATAAATTTAAATTGCAATCAAATCTTATTTTGTAAATTCTTTATATTTATTTTAGCAATTTTGAATCCTTTTATTTCAGCTGAATCATATCAAAATAAAAATGGTTCCATCAAACACTGTTAGGTTTGTCTAAGATTTTTTATTGTATAAAATTAGTTAAATTTTTGTTCCGCCATAAAATTCATATAAAACATAGGTCATTTTATTAAAGTATCCAAATTTTATTTCGTATGTTTTAAATTATATGTTTATATTATTATGTTTATGATTTAAGATTAGTTAAAGAAAGACCTTTTCACAATCAATGTCTTAATATTTGTCATATCGGGATTTACAATAAATTGCTTCAATTTGCTGAGGTAAAAGATAAATTCTATAGTTAAATATACAAAACGTTGTATTACAACAAAATATTTTTTAAAATTATAACCTGTTTTCTCATGCAGGGCTGCGCTCTGCCCGTCTGGCACGCGCAAATGTTCTTAGGCCTGCTGTTTGTAGCCCCAATTGTGAACCGATTTAAAAGATCTTGGTGTCATAAAATGTTATTGTATGTTTGCCATTTTATATTTACGTTTATTACTGTATACGTATGAAGGCAACTCTGCTCCTATAATAGCCAGTTGTTGCTCGAAATTAATTTTTTATACAAATTACTGATACATAAAAGATATTCATAAATCTTTGAAAAGAGCAGTCATTTTATTAAATAATTTGAACGTTTGGATACAATTGCAAACCTGATAAAGTATGTCTTATTTTTGAACATAATTGGTAATCGAATTTTATTGCAAACATTACCAAGATTTGTATAAACTTTTTTTAAAACCTAATTGCATTTTCCCGATTCAATGTATTCAGTAAAAGTGTATTATTCATAATTCAATGATAAATTGAGTAACCTTAAACTTAAATATAAAATGAATTCAAGTGCAAGTCCACAACCTTTTATACGATATCAGTAAATACTCTGTTTAATTATAATAATTTATGTACCAATCATTATGACGCAATGTCATCCTCTTGTTTTGGGGCTCGTCGACCGCGAGCAGCGGCGCGGCAGGTGGCTGTTGCCAACCTCCCAACGAAAATTCCCAGTTAATCCCTGCTCTTGATCGACGGCCAGAGTTGGTCTCGGCTAAGCTTGATCTCGGCTAACGCACTATGTCGTGAACCCATTTTTTGACCGTCGGTTAAAATTGGTCGAGATCAACGATAACCGCGGGCCACGAAACCCCGTACTCGTGAACCGCCTCTTAAAGGTTTTAAGTTACTTCCCCGAGCTGAGGTTTAAGAACAATCTGTTAACTATGTTACTGGATAGTTTAAGATATTTAATTGATAAAAAAAACCAAAATAAAGCTCATTTTCTGCTCTTTGAGACAAGCAATTGTTACCGTTAATAAAATGGAATTAGTGGAATCATAAGGTTTTTATTTTCTTTAGAATTTATAATAAAGCTGGGGTTTTCGTTTTCCCTTGCGGAGGTTCACAAAAAAGTTTACATCACCTGAACGTTTGAGATAGGCCCCTACCTTATTTTAATGAATATAAAATCTAAAGAAAGCTAAATTTTACTTCTACAATCCCCTTGTCCCAACATCAAGTAATATGCAGTGGGGGTAAGTGTGTACACCCCCCAACATCATTTTACAAAAAAATTCTCAAAAACACAAACTGAAATTCATATTTTTATCAAAATAAAAAACCTCATACAAAACATTCCAAAGAATAAGCTCAACAAATGGTTTTTGTAGCACCTACGAGTATAAATCTGTGGTCAAAGTTGTACTGTGTGATTTGGAGCGTACACTTACCGTACCCCACTTGACCTAACTAGTGTTATTAGAGGTATAGGGCCTAGTGTATCTTTTTTTGTTCTTTCAACTTTTATTCTTCAAAAATTTAAAGTTCGCCCAGGTTCCAAAAAGTTTTATAACTGTATCTAACTTACATTTTAACCTGCCACAAACAATTATTTTGGTTTGTCGTTTGTATTCTAACTACCCATATTGCAGATTCCTCCTGAGATAAATACTATTGCTGAAACTTCTACAGGCCATTGTTGATTGTCTATTGTTTTCCAACAATCAGTCTCGTTTTCCACCATTTCCGTTGCTGAGACAACTGCCTAAGTTATTTCTGTTGGACAGTGTTTTCATACGGTTCATAGCCCTTTCTTCCTTGCATACCTTAGGCCTTAAGTTATTTATTTGTTTATCGTTAAGGATTTAGCTGTTTTATAGATCTTAACCTTTAAGCTTTGACTAATAGCGTTGACTATTACTAATAGTCTAAGTATGGAATAAGTTTACTAAACAAATAGTTGGTAAACAAATAGGCAAATTAACTTATTACACATTCCAAAATATTTCATTTAGGTATTTATTGATTTCTCTCAACGGTTTTTACAATAATATACATGAATATATAGGTATTGTCAATTTTTATTTGAGTTGTGATTTGTTTTCGAATGGACGTTATATCATTGAATTGGGGTTTTCTTTCTTTTCTTTGGAGTTTTACGATATTATTTTATGGCCTAGTTGCGCTACAGTGATAAACAATAACAAAAACTATTAGCCTTAGTTTATTAAATTATTCTGCTAAGTTTAGCCTACTGTAATATTATTGTTTCAACAGTATGTAATTTTTTGGGTAGGTATTTTTGTGTGATCGGTTGGTGATTCCTTCAATCTGAGGTTAACTTAAAATAAGTCGATCAGCAATTAATTGACCTCAACAAACATTGTAGATTCCTAAGTTAGAATAGGCTTGAGGATTGTGAAACATGGCTCTCAGATGATTAAGTTAGTGGCTGGTCTCATTTAGTTTTCATGATGCCTCACTCTCAGGGTTAATTGTTAAAATAATCCCCTGGTTAATTGAAGGTCTATTCTGTTAATTAATGTTATGGTTTTGTCTGGCATTGACCGTGGTCTGCTTTTGTAAGGCCAAATTATACCAGTTTAAGTAACCTGAGCTGTAATGTTTATAGGTTACTTTAGCCTAAAATCTGATTAAGCCTAACTTTTACCTAGGGTTATTAAATTTTTTAAATGCTTGGAAGTCATTTTAAAATTGATTTTTAAAGTCAACTTTTACTATGAGATTATTCTTTAC